ATGGCAGGATGAACCATATCCGAGCCAGGAGAAGTGTCAAGTCTTAAGTGCTGCAGTTTCCGGAACACCAAGTCAGCGCTTAGGTCCACTTCAGAAAGTCCTGTGGAATTGCAGATGAAACTGTCGTCAATAAAGTTGATATCAGCCGGTTGAAATGTTTGAGAGTAATGGGCCGCCAGAAGGTTAGCGGCGTCGCCATCGTTGTTGGTCGGGCGTTTAAGACCTAGCAGTTGAGAAGCTCCTGTTTTGGCTTGACGAAGTGAGGCTGCATAACGGAATAGGCTTCTAGGGTTAGAGGCGAATTTGTCCATAAGCTTTGTTTGGTACTGAAGCCTGTCTTCTCTTATAGCCTTCGTGCATGTGTTCCTGATATGTTTGTATTGCCTATACGCTCCATCGTTATTAGTTCGTTTGTATTCCGCCCAACAGTGCCGTTTGCGGCTTAGGAGGCGAAGGGTACGGTTCTTGATAACTGTAGGTGGCTTGAAGCTTTTGGGAACCGTTTGAGGAACTGAATGGTCTGTAGCACATAAGAGCGTGTGCAGTAAGAAGTCCCAATGACCATCCACATCGATTTGAGGGTGAACATCTCAAACCACCTGTTGTAGATGGTCATGTAGAGCTGGCACATTCAGCCGTTTAAAATTTCAACGCAAATTATTGTTGGGATACCTTAGCTTAGTTTTGATGACAAAACTGAAGGCTATGACGGCATGATCGCTTTTTCCCAGAGGAGCCAGGATTGAGAGGTTGTCGACTAGGAATTCTTCGTTAGTGAATACACAGTCTAAGCGCGATGGTGTCTGACTGTTTCTCCAACGAGTTGCCGACCTCACATTTTCATATAAGCCCAAGTTATCGATGAGGTTGAAGAACCGAGCTTCAGTTGAGTTGTCGCCTCCAGTGTACGTGTGTTCCGCGAAGTTGACTCTAGGGAGATTAAAGTCCCCTAGAATCAGGATGTGTGTGAAACCGAGACGGATAGAGCGGGATAGTCCTTCCAGCATACGACTATCGTACTCGGTGTCGGCAGTTGGCTTCCTGTAAATGACTCCGACTAGACACCTGGAAGTACTAGACAACCTTACAGAGCACCATATGGATTCCTCAAGATTGTTAAACTCGAGGTTGTGAACCTGGTGCACCTCCAAGCAAGAGCTTATGTATATGGCTACTCCGCCCCCAATTCCTATTTTTCTGTCGTTGCGGAACAAAGTCATTCCAGGTAATGCTAACTCTTGATCCGAGAACTGAGAAGATGTCCAGGTTTCAGATATTCCTATCAGATGGGCCTTGTTAGCGTCGCTAAGTTCACGTAGTTCATCCAGTTTGTTTGATAAACTCGCGGCGTTCATATATAAGCAGTTTATGCTTTCAATTTGGAACGCGTGAGCTTCGTCCTGGTTTTCTGTATGAACCTTATGTGAATGGACAGGTAGCCCACCTATATGAGGTTTGCCGAGGTGGTAGGCCCTGTCCTTTACACGTTTTTTTATCGTTTAGACAGTCCACAAGTGGAATGGTCAGCTCCAGCTTGCCTTTGTTCTTGGTCCTGACTTCGTATGGCCTATCCGGGTGCATGTGGATTCCAGGTGGCAATCGACGTCTATTAGCACGAAATGCTTCCAGAACTGCAGCCGCCATGTGGGAAGATGGGAAGGTTATCTTCATCAGACGGGGTCTAAGATCACCGTCCTTCTTGGCTAGTCTCGTCACATGCTGAGTCAGTATGTGTTTGAGCCTCAAGGACTGTTTGATGAATTTCCATTCCCTGATATCAGAATGTGATTGAGTAGGGTCTGCATTTTCCGGTATACCTTGGACAATTATGTTTCTTCCGCGGAAGAACTTTTCGCGAGATTCTTTAGGGACGTTTCGTATGATATTGCGCTCAGAGTACGGTATGTCGGGCAATATTCTTACGTTACCATCTGATTTCAGTAAGTGACTTGCTAGCAAGACGTCCTCTACGTCGGTAGCATTCTTAAGTGTTACTCGGAGAAGCCTCGGGTGATTTAGATGCTTAGAATCCTTTCCTCGAGTGAGCCGGGTGACCGTCAAAGGCTCTATTCTAGGAAGTTCGAGCTTTTTGTTCAATTCACCCCACAGCATCCTGTCGTTTTTATCCTGCAGACTGAGAGGAAGGTCAGGATTGTCGACGAGGTTCATGATAATGAGAGAATCGTCACGAACTGTTGTTAATTTACCAGGTTTCACGATGGGTTCAGGTTTAATAACTTGTTTTTTGGAGGTCAGTGTGCGTTTATGAATCTTGGGCTCTTTATTGACCGGACGAACAGTCTTGGGGGTAGACTGTGCGACTAAATCACCAGTTATTTTCCGTGCAGCAACACTTGGGTTGCTCGGCTTAGGCGGTGATGCCTGGTTCTTTTGGGCTCTCTTAACGTGGGTCGAATCTCCTGCAGGGTTTTTGGGAACCACTGTTGTGTTCAGCGACCCTGAGCTGGGAGACCCGAGTTTGCCTAGGGAGTCTAGTACCGTCGACGTAATGATGGTACTGAGCATCGACACGTCGTCGTTAGTGTTGATGGATGCTCCATCGATGACATACCTATCGACATCCCTATTTTTGAGTCCGTTGCGCGCTCTTGTTTGTATATCGGTTTTTTTACTGTCGTATTCCAAGTTAACTGACAGCTTGTTTCGAAGACCTGTCAGTAGGACAATGATGTTACTCAGCAAGACTACTGCGTCCGTGTTGCACGTGACACATACCCACTTTTGGTCTGACTTGCTGAGTTTGTTGTAAGCAGTTGCTGTCAGATTTGTGCATGCTTCGTGAAACCAACCTTTGCAGTTGTCACACTGCATGCCAGTTGTGACAGCAAAACGGCATCCCGGACGTTTGCATGAGTTTTTCATGACGGTGTTGAAGCAAACTATGTTATAGATGCTGGCAAAAGCTTAAGACCTTTTTAAAAAAACACTAAAATGCACACTGAAAACGGACAAAAACGGACAAAACGAGTGATATAAACTGAAACTAGTCTATACGTGAAAAACAAAAAAAAACCGAATAGTAAGCTGAGGCAAAACCACAGGTAACTATTAAATATAGTGAAACTCAAAAAAAAGTAATCTACCGAACGTATAGCTCAGGATAGATTTTTTAGAACTGAAATGGTACTTTTGTTGCGTAAGAACACAGCAAAAGTTTGATATATGCAAATCACGTTAGGACTAAACTTCCCGTTCGAAAATCGCGCAATCTATTACTAAGATTTGAGCGTAGATTCTTATAGTATTGAATGGTGAAGGCCTAAATGTCTACGTTCAACGTCTGATTCTTATACTCTACACTCGTGGATAAGTAAAATTATTGCACACAGTTAAAAATCTGGAACCGCTATCTAACATCCAGTCTGAATAGATTAAAAAATAAGGTTTTTCTCTGTGACAAGGGATATAGGTTGTTTATCTAGTTTTTAGCATCGACATGGCTAAAGACTCAACATACTGACCATGAGGTTCTACAACCTTTGGCAGCCGACGCACGGCACTGTGCAGTAATTTTTAAGTCTTGGCTAACGATAACGCTTTCGGTGGAGTTTTGTTCTCTGAGCTGGATGGTTTGGTCGTGGAGCTTTCATCGTTCTTCTGAACGACATCATCAGCACAAACTTCAGATAGAAGTGAAGTGTTTGAATTTCTCCATATGTGTCTCAAAGCTTGTTCTGTGCACCTCGACGTTGATTGGTTCTTATTGACCTTAAATTTGTCGTTGTTTACTTCTTTGTTTTGGTTGTGTCTCCCATTGTTTTGATTTTTGTTCGTATGTTTGTGCCTGATTTTTCTGATTGGTTGATAAATTGGATTGATTTCAATATGCTTGTTGATTGCTGATTGACCTGAGTGCCAGGCTTCTAAAAATTCTCTGGTGTTTTTGGAGTTTCCTCTGTCTAAGATTTCCACATTTTTCCAGTCGAATGAGTGTCCGCAGTTGTCCACGTGTATTGAGATGAGTGAAGAGATATCATGCCGTTTGACTGCTAATTGATGTTCATGTAGACGAAGGTGAAGGGGGCGTCCGCTATATCGGACAAAGTGATATCTCTTCACTCATCTCAATACACGTGGACAACTGCGGACACTCATTCGACTGGAAAAATGTGGAAATCTTAGACAGAGGAAACTCCAAAAACACCAGAGAATTTTTAGAAGCCTGGCACTCAGGTCAATCAGCAATCAACAAGCATATTGAAATCAATCCAATTTATCAACCAATCAGAAAAATCAGGCACAAACATACGAACAAAAATCAAAACAATGGGAGACACAACCAAAACAAAGAAGTAAACAACGACAAATTTAAGGTCAATAAGAACCAATCAACGTCGAGGTGCACAGAACAAGCTTTGAGACACATATGGAGAAATTCAAACACTTCACTTCTATCTGAAGTTTGTGCTGATGATGTCGTTCAGAAGAACGATGAAAGCTCCACGACCAAACCATCCAGCTCAGAGAACAAAACTCCACCGAAATCATCCACCTGAGCTACAAATCTTCTCCACCATCTCTAAACGATAACGCTTAAATCATTGTATGTATGGACAACAGACAGGTCACTGTTATTCAATGTATATGAATATGTATATGGGTGACCATTGTGCATCATAATGCACTTGGAAGTATTTATCGGCAAATGCCAAATTTTAGATCATTCAGAAAGTTTCTCCAGGTCATTTTGCAGTTCCAAACTATTAACTGAACTATATGTCGATGTCGACAGCAAATAAAAGAAAAGCCGCTGTCAATATGTTCGAAGGAACGATTAATATTTGCAGCACTAGAAATCGTTGGGATTAACTGTAGGTCACTTGACCTTCTGTTCTTAAAATAGACGGTTGAGTATTGGCGGCTTTTGTGCTCTCTAGGTCACTTGTCGAACTTAGGAAAGGGATTTCCTATTTAAATTATCCTAACACTGGGAAATACTTGTTTCTAAATTGCTGGTAACATTTCCTATCGCTACAGTAACTTCTAAGCTTGAAAGTCACAAGTAAACTAATTTTATAAATCGAAGTTATCTGTGGCAAAATAATTATTCTTCATCTCAATAAACTTCGCCTTTTGTTATTGTTGTTAGTCAGTAATTAGGGGTTACTAGTTGTTTGTAAGGATAATTATCTATATTCGTTTTTTAAGGGAATGTACATGTGGCTGAACAACCACATGTATATTTTTCAATATACTTGAAAATGTATATTTGGTAGATGATTATGTACGTTATATACTGTGTGAACTAGCTAAGCTGTTTTCTTGGTTTAGCATCGGTAGATAGCCTGGGTTTTGTAAAATTAAAATCAATATATTTGTAATCTTTGTCATAAAATTCAAATACCGGAAAATTCCCCCCAAACTTTGGAGATTTCCCAAAATAGGGAGACTAGGCTAATTTTGAGTAATAAGGATACCAACTTCAGATAATACGTTAAACAAAGTAGTTAGTGGGGCGAGACCAATTTATGGGTGGACTGACCAGATACAACATAACCATTCCTGGATTATTTTGTTCGAAATTTATTTATGCATTTGTCTAAAGAGCTTTTTGGCATTATAGGTAATGCTAGTTAATGATGGCATTCTCAAGATAACTTTAGTTTCGCTCAAGGGTCGCCCATCAATTATGGTCTCACCGACTTCGTTCATATTTTTATCCATACAAATGTATTACCAAATAAAACAGGTGTCAACCCACAAAAACGATGAAATTTAATGTTTCAAAACGTACGGACACGCTTTAGTGATTATAAAAAATAAAATCCACCTAAAATACGTATATCTGACTTTCTGCAAATACAAGTTATCAACACTTTTCTATCACTTCACAATAATGTTCGTTTTCTTTTTCTTAAATTCTGAATGAAGGAAACTACCGGTTAGATAAAAATGGCCCGTCAGTCGCGTGGATTGGAATCTAAAAGAGTGGTATGATTTTTAAGTAAAACTTTATGTATCTAAAAAATCGATAGACGGCTGAATTGTTCACTTTGACATATGGTGCTCTTGTTGCTAATATTGTTAGAGATTTCGATACAGATGCAGAAATTAATGAACAGTTAGACAAAATGTAAGCCGCCTAATTCATCTTATTAGATGTAATTTTGCTCAATTAGCGGATTTAATATTGGTCTAAAGTTGGTTGAAGACTACTTAGCGCGTGGGAATCCTGGTCGTTGTAACGATTTCAAAGAAACCGCTGAAGCAGTCGTAAAAGTAAGCAAATAACAAGACAGTTCTCGCTTGTTTATGTGTTTGTTCACACTTCATCTTGTGAGTATCTTAGACCAACAAGTTGATAAAGGCTTTAACTGCTTTCACGACGTGAGAATTGACCCTGTGTTGAAGAAAAGAACAGTTTTATACTTTATTGATGGATGATATCTTTTAAGGTTGTTAGCATTGGCGAATAAAATCCTGACCGACAGATGATGATCGATTATTGTAACACCTAGTCAACTATTAGTTACTCACGAGACTGAATTACCGGCACTAACTATTGGATGAACTGATACATCAAAGCCAACTAGTCAGCAGAACAAGCTTTGTATTCAAAAAGAATTACGATGTCACTTGAAACATCAAATGAGTTAGTGAATATAACTTTTTAGGTCGCTTAATTTCTGATAAATTTGTAGACCGGGTTTAAATTTGGGTTGCAAGACTTATCAAAAGATATGAGTCGCTGCATAAATCGAGAATTAGAGAGTGGACGAAGTATATTAGATAATAGCTCAAATTTTCTGCAATCAAGCTTCAGTTTCTTACGGTGTAAATTACACCTAGTTGGGATGTTGGCATTAAATTATCAATCAATAAAGCGTTCTGTTAAGCAGACTATAAGTCATATGCATAAATTGAAGGGTTGATAGTTTTCGTTAAAAAAACAGGAAAACCAAGGAGTCTGTAGATATATAGTTTATATTGTTTAATATTCAAACCTACACTAGTATACAAAATAAAATCTGCGCTATATATTCCGCTACTAAGACTGCTGTTATCTGTGACTTTTAAACTTACTGGTTGCAGTTTTTCAAATTTTCTTTCCTGTTTTAGGGCTTCAAAATCTTTTTAGGCATAACTCCAACTATTTGTAAATTCAGTTCAGCTGGTGATGAATTCAGTCTTGTATTGGAGAATAATCCATTGACAGAATTTGTTGATCTTCCTGCTGAACATCAAAACCTACTTTATTCCAACGTATTGGCTGGTGCGATACGTGGTGCTTTGCATAATGTAAGATATATACATGTGTTTATATATATATATATATATATATATATATATATATATATATATATATATATATATATATACGTTAAAAGAAAGATAGGGACTGCCAAACCATGACTTAAAATCGGTCCATGAGCAATATACTTGGATATGAACTTCTTGGTTGGGGTCAGAGCAATCATTATAACCAGTGATTGAAGACGTTGAGTGATATAGCTCAAAATTAGCTGTCATGGCGCAGATACTTTTACTCTTTATCTTTGCATTTATCTTGTTAATTACATCTCATTGTGCTAATACAGTATGATGATTGGGATCGATACACATCTGTACCGGGTTCCACGTTGCTTTCGACTGAATGACTAGTGAACTCTTTTTCATGTGGGTCATTAATTTTCAGTGTAAATGTAACACATTCCTTATTAGGCTTGAGTGTCCTGAGTTTGATTCCGTTTAGGAGGCTCGGGTTCATATTAATGAGTAAATTTCTGAACTTTAAACAAAATACTTGTTCATAAATCTGTAATTTACAACGTAAGTATTTTTGGTCACCTATTTTTCTTCCTATGAATCTCGACAATTCAGCATGCACTGAAGTAATATACAATGTGATACTCTTCATTTAGATCCCTTATTCATTAGATGTTAGCATAAGTGACTGACACACTTGGTGTTTTCGCAATAAGTTTCTTTTCCACTAACGTAGTTACTATATATGCAGATAAATTATTACCGAAAAGCAAGTCGAAGCAATACAAATATTTATCTTATCAATATAGCTGATCGTAATACTAGATCAAAAGAGTTACATGCCTTTAGTTTCAGTCGGAAACCATGACGGAATATTATAAAAACAGTGAGTAGTGTTTGTGTTCATGTATACATGAGTTCCTCATTAGTGTATCGGAAAGAATTTAACTTCTTAAGTTTAGTTATCCTAATCACACATAAGTTACGTAAATCTAGTTGGACAGATCAATACTATTAAATTGGCTGGGTAGTTCTCTTCGATGCTTATCGTTTATAATATTTACAGTAACTCAGCTCAAGAGGTTATTTATTATTTATTTATTTGAACACATAAATATTGGTACAAGAGGGCACCAAATATACATGCACCACACAAAACAATGAGAATTCAAAGAGAAGGAAAAAAGGTAAGGAGCGTAAAAAAAGAACGATAACGAACAGATTAGTAAAAGGTAGTGTAATAATAACAATAACGGGGGAAACAGAAACGTACAATCAGAAGAGATCTTTCAGTTAAGGAAGAAGCAACCACTTTTTATGAAGAAAGTAAAAGAAGGTTACAACAGGATCGCTTCTGGCTTCTATTCTGAACCATATCTGATAACGTCTCTACTCGAGAACGTTTAGATAGAGCCGAGTTCCCACCATAGGCGAGCTGCTGTATAAGTCGAAAAATAACGATAGACAGAGTGAGAATAAGAGTAAATAAATGACGTAGTAAATAACAATAATTATAATAATGACAATAATAGCAATAATAATAATAATGTGAATCGGTTGATTGTTAATTGGAGCAAGAAAAGTATTTCCCATAGTTATCGACAGTCCATATTTGTGTGTGGGCTGTGATACTGCCCGGGTGCCCAGACCGAAGCAGGTCAGCTCAACCACTTGATCTCAGGTTCGAGTCCCCTCATCCTTAACGGTTTGGGAAACCAATTAGTAACCCTAACTCTCACACATAAAGTGTGACTCAAAGCTAAATATACGAACACGTATATTATGATGGATGTATTTTTTTCCATAAAATTGGGATATTGTTAATTAACGTGCAGCAAAAAACTTTGTTAACTGCATGCTGCAATTAAAAATTAAGTACAGTACACTCCAGTGTTTTTTATTGTTTAACTTTACTGATATTCTCTAAATTCAGCACTTCATTTCTCATTATAAACACCTGATAACATTATCATACAAAATGCAAGGTCTCATGTAATATTACTGTGTGGTTAACTTTGTTACTTTAACAATTAGACATTAGAATTTTTAAAGCCTAGTAGATTAAACTGGTTTTACGATTGTAACACTACATTTAATGATATATTGAATCCTTAATTTATTAAATACTAACGTACGAAAAGTTTGCTTCCCTTATTCACCCATTTAAATAAATAAGTACACTCAATTTCCATCCACATTATGTAGTGGTTAGAAAAATAATACTCGATTGCGCTCGAAATAAAGTTGGTTTAACTTAACAAGTATCAAGTGGCGCGAAATCTAAATCTAAAGGATTACGGAGACTACCTCTAACCACCTAAAATCAAAAACATAGGGTTTGCGATGTTGAGTTATCTTAGATTATTGACCATACTGCAACATGAAAAATGCAATTTCCCTATCACTGAGGTCCAGTAAAACATGGTATTGATTACTACTCAATAACTGATCACCATACATATCTCATTCCTACAGTAAGTTAATTGAGGCCCAATTCATTTCGTGATAATATTTTCGATACTGAACAGTAGTAGGTCCAAATGCCTCAGGGAGCAGTTCACCTAAGGATAAGGATACGCTTTTCTGACGAATATCAATTAGCACAAAACCTGGACCTTGAAAGCTTTTAATTTATTTTCATAGTTTATTTTTGTAATTTAATTTTTATATTTTATGCACAATCTTATTTAAGGTACAACTTGAAGTTGAGGCTCGATTTGTTCAAGATCAATTACGTGGTGATCAAATCAATGAGATACGCGTAAAATTTATTCGTCGTATTGAAGAAATTATTCAAGGAGATGATTAATTCATCATATTTATTTTAATATTTCCAGTTCAATTTTATAAATATATTCACTGAATGTATTTTTACGTTACATAACTTTTTCTATGAATTTATTCTTTGATAATAATAACAGTAATGATAAAAAATGCATTTTCTGTACTAAAACTTAGGAAAAATCTAATGGCTGTGCACAAATAAATACCATTCCTATTTTCCAAAGTGTTTTTATTTAGATTTTTCAAACTACTGAAATATATATTAGTAAGTGAATATTTTGATTATTTTAATATTTTCTAGCTATGGCCTTAAATCCGCAATATTCACATACTACTACACCAATTATAGAGGCTTGGTTAATTAAAGCTCTTCGTCTTGTACATTCAAAAAAGTCTAGTGATCGTGATAAACTGCGTAAATTTTATAAAGAAGCTTGTGAAAATGAATCACAAGTTGTACATATGACTATTGCTGAAGCTCTACGTGAACCTCGGGAGTGTAATACTACAAATTATGAATCAAATGATGTAAGTTGCTTACAATTTTTGATCATATTTAAATACTAATTGTTCTGTGCTAATTATTCGTCCATATATTCATAATATGTCGATTTCACTTGCGCTACATTGATATGAAAATCAAGGTTGTTATCTCAAAGAGAGATAGAGCTCTCTTCAAGATAATATACGAAACTAAATGTATCAAAGTTATTACTTCAGTGAATTATCCTTATTTCATCGATGTCTACTAATATTTTGGGAAATCTTCCATTTTTTTTAACGATTTTCTTTAGAAAATCACCTGTTTATGTAATTTATTATATCTTCAACTTCCCCTCATATTTATATATCCTAATCTAGCGAGATACATCCACTTCTACTCATTCTACGCAACGAATTCGTGTAACACAATCCGTGAATGATCCAAGCCAATCTACGTCTTCGTCCATTTGTACAACAACCACTAATAACATAGTTACGAATGAATCTATTGGTTCAATGAATACGAATAGTAGTGGAACTTCAATGTTTACTACTACATCCACCTCTTATCCTGATCAAATTATAAGTTCCACTACTACTGCTACCACTAATAATAATATTACTTCTGGTATACCTACTTCACCAGTGATTGGAACTACCACGCATTCTCCAAATTCAACTACAAATCGTGCAAATAAACGTAATAAAGTGGCGTTTTTCAATATTTTTGACGTTGCTTCATCGACACCCAACAACAGTTCCATATCGAATACTCCGATAGTGTCAAAAAATAATACGGCACAACGATCTTCAAACCAGTTAGATAATACATTATCAATCGAGTCAGTTGGTATGTTGTAATCTTGAAGTGTATTTCGTCTTTTTTTTCTTTTAATTTTTCATTATCGAATTAATGTTTATTGATTTCAATGGTAGTCTTTGTTGTTGATATGGTGACGAATATTTGTAGCGTAAAATGAGGATTTCGAAGGTGCTTTGCTATTTTTTTGAGCTTCATGGCCTAGTTATCAAGTTTTTGTTGTCTTTCTTGATAACATATATTAGTAAATGTTTCAAAAATTCTCTATCATGAAAATTCTAATTCACTGTTAGGAATTTATCGTATTCAATGCGAAACTTAAAAATTTTTTACTCGATTTTGTATTGAATCTCTCGCTTCTCTTTGAAGTCCTGTATCGGAATGATATAACCGTTCTAGATTAGCGTCGTTTATGTTCGATTGTAAAGTATAGTTTTATTGTTTCTTGGAATCCGTCAAAAACACTAAGGGGGGTAAGAATTGTTTTTTTAGTATTGTTACAGCTCTCTTCAAGATATAAAAGATAGTGTACATTACTTAAAAATTGGTAGCCACTTATTTTTTAGAAACTAATTCCTATCTTATCTAGTCTTACACTATGAACGGTGAAGTATTTTTGGTAACGATCGTCAATAGAAGAGGGACTTATTTCTATATTTAATTACCAAGTATGATTTTATTGGTTTCGTTACATGGAGGAACGATGGTTTCTATCTTTCCTTTTAGACAGTGTCATCGCAGTGGTATACAAAAGTAACATTTAAATATATCTCTGAAAGCAGTAAACTAGTCAATTCTCTTGAACTTCAGTGAGTGATGATAAAGTGTAGATAAAGCACTCTAGTTAAATCACTAGTCTAAACGTCGTTTCACCTACTTTCTTTTGGTCAGCTGGATAGTATCATCAGATTTCATATGCACAGATAAAGGTATAACTCTAAGTTGAATAGAGAAATCTTTATTTAATAAATTAATTAAATGATTTTAACTTACAATAAGATTACACAATTGTTTTATCAGACCTTTCAGATTGAAGGGTTAAATTATCAGTTATGGTGGGTTTTAGGCTAAAAATGCGTTTCACTTATCTCCATGTCGGCAATAACCAGGTACTAAAAGTAGTCCTCACTTTAGATGTAAGGTGGTTAAAGGTAGTTGACAGGAAATTCTGTACCTAGGTTCCGTGCTAACTGGAACTCGTCAATAGGACATACTTGCAATCTTGGGGGAACTGATGTTCTCGGATAGGTTCGAGCTCGTGTCGCCCAGTTTTACAATGTGAGATATTACTAGTAAACTATTTGTACGGCGACTGGCCCGTTGTTTGACTGAGATATGTACAACTGATTAACCAAAGAGTAGTGCGCGGCCAATGTCATGTTTATCTATTCCTTGAGAACTGTTTGTATTCTATTGAATACATCGCATGGACTACTAGCAGTAAAAAAAGGACTAGGCAAACATAAAATTGGTCACTCACTACTCAGTAATCATTCAGTTGTAAACAACGTGTTCTCGTACAAAAAATATGATTTAAACCCTACTATAAAAACTTGTATCTAGTTATTCAGTCACATCAATTTAATGTAAAAAAGTACGTACTTGTGTGTTTTCATAACACATGTATGTATTTAACTGTTTCTAGATTTTAGTAATACAACAATTCAACTATGTACTATTTCTTCAATAAATGATGATAATCAAGAAATAACAACGGATTCAGTGATAGGCAACACTGGAACAACTAATAACATTTCAATGCATTCTAATTTATCTAATCCTATTATAGATCTTACATTTACAGATAATGGAACCGCGTCGATTTCGTCTTCCTTGGCTATCAATACCACCACGTCTGCTAATGCTGTTGCTGTTACTCTGCCTTTAAGTGAAGATAAACAAATGGCCACTGGGAAAGTGATGAATCCTCCTACTGTGAACACTACTACTACTAGTACCATTATTACTACTCCAACTACTTATATTCCTACAGTGTCATCAGTATCACTGCAGCCACCATCACTTTCTTCTCCTGTTGTTACAGTTATTGGTGCGTTGACAAAATCAACTCAAGATAATTCTAGTTTTAATACTAATACTACTACTACTACTAATAATAATAATAATGCACGTTTATTGGCTGCAAGTCTAGTCGCAGATCTTGTATGTCGTCTATGTGGTCGTCTGTCACAACAACCACAATTAGAACCGGACAATAAAACACTGAATGCAAATGTACTAGTGGAGTGCATCAAATGTGGTTCATTATATCATCAATTATGTCATCAACCATTAATATTAATGTCAACACCCAAACAACAATGGTTATGTATAAATTGTTCGATCACTACCACTACTAATACAACTATTTTCAATCCTTCATTTGTATCATCAGTATCTTCGTTAACATCATCAATATCTTGCACAGCTACATCGTCTTCGAATTCTTCGCTTACTACTTTAGCAATATCAGCTAATTCAACATGTGTTAATAGCATGTCATCCGATCCTATGATACCGTGTAGTATAATACAATCTGATGGGGATATTTTATCGAAAGATGTAACTATGATTGCAGATAATAATAATAGTAATAACAATAACAATAATAATAATAATGAGTATTTGTTCTCATCATCTAATCCAGTTCACTTTCAGTCTCGAGAAACAACTTCAACTGTTATAACACCACAAACATCATCATTACCAGTGTGTACTTCTACTTCTGCTACTACTACTAATTCTATTACTACCGTTAGTTCAACTACATCTGCAAGTACAGTCAATGTTGGTGCACGTAAACGTAAACCGGCATTCACAAGTTCATTATCTGGTCTACCTCGTAAATTAAAAGATGATTACAATTGATTTACTATCCTTCTTTTTTTTATTCTTTAGAATTTAAATTTGGAGAAATGAATATTAAGTTTAAATTTTACAAAATAATGTACAATTACTTTCTTTTCTTTTTAATGTTATGAAATACAATAAGACAATTGTTTAATATTCTGCGTTTATTTTTCTTCATTGTCGGTGCTAAAGATTACAATTGATCAGTCACTTTTTGGCATATGTGTATCCTGAGCAGATCATCTTCATGTTGCCATCAATTACAAATATGTTTGAGTAGAAATAGGAGTGGCTGGAAAAGAAGATTCAATCCTTTACAACTGGACTGTGGTTGATTCTTGCTGCACAACCCAGTCGCTATTTAAACTCAATATCTAAGTGGACAATTCGTTGACATTCAGAGCGAAAGGCACTAGCTTCGAGTTCTGAAATAAACATCAACACCAAGACCCAATTACATCCAGCTATAAATGAAATACGCGTCTTGAATGTCACTACAAGTCACATTGGATCTCTTCTTGAAAAAGATTTTTTTTAATTGTTCATAATACTTGTTAGATACAGATAGAACGTCGTTTGTCTTACGAGTTCAGCTTTTAAACTGGGTAGTGTTGAGGTCATTGACATTAGTTGAACTGTCACAACTGTGTCCGTGTCGTCCCATGATATCTTCATATCCGATGTTTTTCATTCCGGCTTTTGCGTTTAGGTCTCCCATTAAGATAGTAGGGTCCTTTCCTGGGCACTTCCCTACAAGTGACTGCAGCCCCTCATAAAACTGGTCTTTACCGCCATCGTTGATAACATTGGTGAGTGTATAACACTGGATAGCATTCATTGTGATTCCCTCCTTTATTTTGCTGATCCTGGGTCCATGAGGTTCCCGTCCTATGGGTGCTTTTCGGGCTTCTCTGAACAGCATCAGAGCAACTCATTGTGTGTGCGGGTCATTTTCTTCGTGATCAGAGTACAACAGCATCTCTCGCTAATCTAACCTTTTCTGTCCAGCTTGAGTCCAGTGGGTTCCACTGATTCCGATCACCACCAAGTTATATCTCCTCGTTTGCACAGCTATTTGATTAGTCCGCCCGGTTTCCCACATCGTCCGGACATTCCATGTACCTCTATATGAGTTGTTGGTCTGGTTGTTAGAAGGGGTATCGACGTCGTGACTTCCGAAGAATCTCGGCTTTCACCATGAGGCACCATGATTCTTTTGAGTGGAGATCCTTCAACTTATAGGGCAGAGTTTAAATGGTTTGAACTTTTTTTTCTGGTTAGCGTTTTTAAGCAAGGTTGACTTCTACGGGTTGGGGTTGTTGATCCCATGCCCAACATTCTTCCTTTACCCTGACTTGGGATCGTTAGTAACCTTAGAAGAGCTACAGGCGGTGTTTCATATTTACATTGGTTAAACTATAATGATGTATGATGCTCTGATCAAGTCACTTTGAGCTATTGATTGACTTTCGGCTAAACAGTGCTCAGGTTCGAACCTTACTCCATCTGTTTTGCTCCTAGCATCTGTGTAGTATCACTATTCATAAAATAGTGGGGCTTAAAGCTGAACGTATATGTCTTTACTTCATTATAAGTAAACGGATAATCCTTGTTAGAAATTGTAATTCATTCCGTTTGAACTCTTAACACATAGGAACTTGTGTTGGTTAGATATCTAATATTACACGACTAGAATTAGAGGATATAGTTATATTGTATATAGATTTATTTTTCCATCCGTTCAGTATTTAATATCCTATTCATCTTTCGCTTTTTTTCCATCACTGATGTTTATATGAGCAGTAACAGCAAATACAAATTAAATGGTCATACAGGATGTCGCAAGTGATCTAGTAATTTGTCTATACTTACTTACGCCTGTTACTCCTCGTGAAGGAACATAGGCCACTCACCAGCATTCGTCATCCAACCCTGTCCTGGACAATCCTTTCCAGCTCCTTCCAGTTGTTATTCATCCTTTCCATATCTGCTTTTATTTCCCGACGTAATGTGTTCTTTGGCCTTCCTTCAGGATTCCAAGTTAGGGCTTGTCTCGTGATGCAGCTTGACGATTTGCGTAGTGTGTGTCCTATCCATTTCCATCGTCTTTTCCTAATTTCCTCTTCAGCTCGAAGCTGGTTTGTTCTCTCCCACAAAAGGCTGTTGCTGATGGTATCCAGCCAATGGATGTTGAGCATCTTGCGTAGTCCTTGCTTTGCCAATCCTCGCCTTTACGTCTGCATCTGAACCTCCTTGTCTATCGACGATGCTTCCCAGTTATGTGAAGGATTCTACATCTTCCAGAGTTTCGCCATCAAGAGTGATTGGATTGCTGTCCGCTTTGAATTTGAGGACCTTGGTTTTCCCTTTGTGTATGCTGAGGCCTACTGATGCAGAGACTGCTGCTACACTGGCTGTCTTCATCTGCATCTGTTCGTGTATACGTGATAGGAGGGCTAGGTCATCTGCGAAGTCCAAATCGTCTAATTGATTCTGAGCTGTCCATTGTATTCCGTGTTTTCCTTCAGATGTCGAGGTCTTCATAATCCAGTCGACCACCAGAAGAAAGAGGAAGGGAGAGAGTAAACAACCTTGCCTGACTCCGGTCCCTACTTGGAATGCATCTGTCAGCTGTCCTCCATGCACGAACTTGCACTGTAGTCCGTCGTATGAGTTCCGGATAATATTGACAATCTTCTCAGGAACTCCGTAGTGTCGAAGAAGTTTTCATAACTTTTTCCTACCCACACTGTCGAATGCCTTTTCATAATCAATGAAGTTGATGTATAGTGATGAGTTCCACTCAACTGATTGTTCGACGATGATCCGTAGTGTTGGAATTCGGTCTGTGCACGACCGATCCTTACGGAATCCAGCTTGTTGATCTCGAAGTTGGGCGTCTACTGCATCCTTCATCCGGTTCAGCAAAACTCTGTTTAAGACTTTCCCTGGTATTGACAGTAGTGTAATGCCTCTGTAGTTTTCACATTTGCTCAGATCTTCTTTCTTTGGAATCTTGACGAGGTGTCCTTCTTTCCAGTTCATCGGCACTTGTTCCTCCTCCCAAATCTTTTAAAATAGAGGGTAAAGCATGCTTGTGGTTACTTCGACGTCTGATTTCAGTGCTTCAGCTGGTATGTTGTCGGGTTCTGCTGCTTTCCCGTTCTTGATTTGTCTGACGGCCATTCTAATTTCTTCCGTCGTTGGTGGATTGACATCTATAGGAAGATCTATGTGTGCTGCTTCGATGTCCGGTGGATTCATTGGGGCCGGCCTATCCAGGAGGTCCTCGAAGTATTCTACCCATCTGTTACGCTGTTGTTGAATTTCGGTGATTGGCTTGCCTTCTTTGTCTTTGACCGGCCTCTCTGGTTTACTGTATTTCCCTGCTAGTTTCTTCGTTGTATCGTAAAGTTGTTCCATATTTCCTTCCCTTGCAGCTTTTTCTGCCGTCGTTGCTAGTTCTTCCACGTATTTCTTCTTGTCGGCTCTAATGCTCCTCTTCACTTGTCTGTTTGTTTCTATGTATTCAGCTTGTGCTTGGACTTTCTCTGCTCGTGTTCGGCTGTTGTTTATTGCTGTCTTCTTGTTCTTCCTTTCTTTGATCTTGTCCAGTGTTCCTATAGAGATCCATTCCTTATGATGGAGCTTCTTTAGACCCAGAACCTCTTGACACGTTGAAGTTAATGCTTCCTTGATGCCTTTCCAGTTGTCCTCCATAGTAGTTTCTTCTTCGTTCAGTAAGTCCTGTAAGGCTTGGAACCTGTTGTTGAAAGATATCTTGAATTCGTTGATTTTGTTAGTATCTCGAAGGAAGGCTGTATTGAACCTTTGTAGTACTGTTTGTCCAGTTTTTCTTCAGCTTCAGTTTTAAATCGGCCACAACTAGGTGGCGATCTGAAGCTATATCAGCTCCTCTCCTGGTTCTCACATCTTCCATTGTCCTTCGGAATTTTTTATTGATACAAATATGATTTATCTGGTTCTGTGTAGTGTGGTCTGATGAGATCCATGTACCTTTGTGTATACGTTTGTGTGGAAATATTGTGCCTCCTATGACTAATTTGTTGAGTGCACACAGATTTTGGTGGAGTTTTGTTCTCTGAGCTGGATGGTTTTGTCGTGGAGCTTTCATCGTCCTTCTGAACGACATCATCAGCACATCCACCTGAGCTACAAATCTTCTCCACCAGCACACAGATTTGCAAATCTTTCTCCATTTTCGTTTCTCTCTCCCAGTTCATGTCGTCCCATGTTATCTTCATATCCGGTGTTGTCTTTTTCAACTTTGGCATTTAGATCTCCCATCAGAATGGTGAGGTCGTTTCTTGGGCACTTCTCTATGAATAACTGTAGCTGCTCGTAGAATTGATCTTTAATGTCTTCGTTGCTATCATTGGTGGGTGCATAGCATTGGATAATATTCATTGTGATCCCCTCCTTCTTTGTTTTGAATGATGCTTTGATGATTCTGGATCCGTGAGATTCCCATCCTACAAGTGCATTTCTTGCTACTTTGGACAGCATTAGAGCAACTCCCTGAGTGTGTGGAGCATTTTCCTCTTCGTGACCGGAGTATAGTAGCATCTCTCCCGTATTTAGCCTTTGTTGTCCAGTTTGGGTCCAATGCGCTTCGCTGATTCCCAGTACTGCCAAGTTGTATCTCCTCATTTCCGTTGCTATTTGACTGGTCTTCCCGGTCTCCCACATTGTTCGGACGTTCCATGTGCCTATAAAAATTGTTGCTGTGGTTGTTAGAAGGGGCATCAGCCTCGTGGCTTCCGAAGGAACTCGGCTTTCACCATGAAGCGTCATAATTCTTCTAAATGAAGACCTTCTAAATTTCAGGGCAGAGTTTAAATGGTTTGAATTTTTTTTCCTGGTAGGCGTTTTTTTAGCGAGTTAGTTTTCTACGGGATGGGGACGCTAACCCCATGCCCAACCCTCCTCCTTTACCCGGGTTCAGGACCTGCAGTAACTCTGGAAGAGCTACAGGCGGAGTTAATTTGTCTATAGAT